AGGTGTGCACCGGACAGAAAGTCATTTATTATTATTCTTCTTTAACTTCTAATATATCCTAGGTGTGTACCTAAGAGAATAATAATAAAAGATAACTCGTGTTAATTGCATCGCGCCTACCACTCGGCTACCTGTTACACAACGTGTGCATTATCAAACTATACATCATAGTGGACAAATTGCACTAATAACGTTTTAAGGGGGCAGCCTACCCATAAATTTCATATGGCATTCAATTGACCGTAACTTTGGTGTTTCTCAGTGGATTTGAGTGAAATTTTGACCACACACTCCTGCCACTATGCTGGCCCTCAGGACATGATTTACAAGTTCTTGCGCCTCACTGACAGGCTTTCCAGGCCGGAAAAACTGAAATTTCCGGCATAGTGCCACGGTGTGCGAGCCACCCAGGAGCCAAACAAATGCATTTACATTTTTTTCACATTTTCGTGCCCATTCTGTCCGTGCGCGGGACCCAAACCTAAAACAAGTCCAGAAGCAGCCATGGGTGGTGGGGTAGGGCCCCTCAACGTGGCCCTGGAATCTGTCACAACGGAACGAGTGGGCGTTGTCTCACGGACTCCCACAGACCCAAGTCAATTTTTGAATTTTTTTAGGTTTAGCACGTGCTACGAGGTCGTACCTTTGATACAACATCCAGTGCTGGGACCTCCACAGCAAGCAATTTCCACAGCGCTGCACACCAAATCCAGGATGCCCTCAGAAACCGGCAAAGACTGCCACTCACGTTTCACTACTGCCTAGTACTGAATCCTACCTGACTTCTTGACACGACTCAAACTTGCCAAAGTCACCAAATCAACGTCAACTACAATAATCAAGCCACATATCTGCAACGTCACGAGGGTGCTGGCAAAAGTCCTGCTGCACGGCGGCCCAATACGTGTTTTTTTAACGTGATTTTTTGGACTTTTTTGGACTTGGGGAAAAATTCTGCACACTTTCGCGTGTTTCCATAATACGACAAGTTGCGCACGGTCTGCTCACATTCAAATACAGTGCTGCCAACAAATGACAGCATGCAACAAAAAAATCTTTCCTTGCAAGGGCACATTTTCGGCCATAACTCTTGAACGGCTGGTCAGATAGGGACACAATTTTCAGAGAATTTGCAGCTATTCATGCTCTTTCAACTGACGTAGCACTCAATATGAATTTACAAATTCGATTTTTAAGCGAATTTTTGGGTAGTCTGCCACCTTAAGTTGACTGTGATTGCATTGTGCGAGAAATACGGAGTTCCGAAGAAGTCTGTGAACACTTCTTCCGCTTGTGTGTAATAGTGCTCCAAGATATTGTGTTTCATTATTTTATTGAGCCCTCTCCGCTGGGTAAAGGAAAGTTTCCTCCATGTGTAACAGTCCATATTATGTGAACACTACACTTGCCATCGAAAACCAAGAACAAATGCTCTGAAAACCAACCCGCGTCACAAGGCCAAACCAAGAACACACGCGTCAATGCTCAAGAACAAAATCGGTCCCACTTGTCCAACGGACACACCAGAGCTGGAATTCAAACATAGGAATCACATTGTTGTCCCCAGCGCGGGCTTGCGAATTAGATGGTTTGGAGGCAACAACGTTGTAAATGGCCAACTGTCCTCAGCGCTTGTTCAGCGCCTCCATGAGCGACACTGACTCCCGCCGCCATCTGGTGTTCACGAGGTCGCGCTGGAAACGGAGCGTCTCTGAAACTTTGTATCCCTGGTGATGTTTGCGCCTGGAGAGCTATAAGTGGTGCTCTTCGGGCGCAATCATTCTCAGCCTACTCAAGCTCAACTGATGAGGGGTGAACACTGTGTTTTGAGCAGGGAGTGGTGCTTTCTTGCAGGGTTGCCGAGTGGACAGTTCGATTGACTTCTGATGGCAGTCGTGAGTCACTCAAGTGAGGATTCAATTCGGCAGGAAAACCGCGAGTTCCCATGTAGGGAGCAACACACTCTTCCCCTACTCTCGCCGAAGTCGCACCAACCTCTTCTTTACATCAAAATTTTCACTGGTTGAATATTACGAATAGGGTCAGTGCATGCAACCAATGACATTCACTAAAAACTTACTTGTATTGGGGCATCAGTCCTTTGTCGATGCCGGGTCAATCGCTGAGTAGATCACGATTGCTGCATGACGCGTTCGCCGACCTGTGAAGTGATTTTATTATGCGCAAGTAGCAGTAAGTGACTGGGCGTTGCGCAGCCCTAGTCCTGTAAACAGTGGGCTGCGAAATGTACATGACCCAAATAACAATCATTGTACAGTAGCTATAGACAGTGTATTATGTACATAATGACTCTATTCCTAATGGCATTTGCCAAGACTGGAGTCAGTGCCTGCCTGCTTTACAGCCGATGACTATTACGTAAGAGGTGTACACGGCCGGGGATCAGTTCGGCAGGTAAAGTACACGTGACCATTGTAAAATGGAGTGGCGGTTGTGCGTGTGACAAATGCACAGTAATCAGCCTGCTAAATGTGCGTGTGTACATCATGGAGGCTGTAGCATGCAGCTCTGCAGACTGCTAGCCGTGCAGAGATGATTGCAGAGATGATTGCGATAATTATTACCAATACAAGCTCGCTGTCTGCTGCCCACGTCTAGCTGTGTCGAATACGTAGGTTTCTGCTGGAACACTAAGAGCTAAGTGGATCAATGAACAGTCAGCCATGGCAGTACTAAACGTTCATAGCGATACGTGGATGCACTGTGACCTTCTTCTGAGAGACAACTCATTTTATGCCTACAGTATAGGTTAGAGCTGAGCTGTCACGTCTCAGAGCTGCCACGTCAGAGCACCGCTCCTTTCACTACACAGTACACTACTCAGTAGTAGTATTAGTAGTAGTATGAAGGTATAAATCAGTGTTCTCGATCTTGCTAACCATCAGTTCACTAGCAGTGTCTTCAAGTTCAAACCACCAGGTGAGCTCAGGTATCCCTTTTCCCCTGGAAATTGTAGTTGCACCCCGACATCACCAGGTGCAAGTCTCTGCTCCTGACCTAGGTAAGTCTTTGTCAACACCCTGGAAACAATGTCTTCAATTTTTAATTGTTATTAATTAGTTGGGACATTAGTCGGTCTCGTTGATTCTATTGAAAGAAAGTATTATAATAACCTACGTGGAGATAATAATTTTAATATAGCTATGAATAGGATGAAGGCCTCAGACATCACGCAACTACGTTACTTGTTTGACATGTATTACTGTGTATTTTATAACAAAAATATTATTGAAAACCCAGAATCGATTTTCTCGTTCCTATCATCAGTGGGAAAAAACGGAACTAAGGATACAACCAAAGAAACTGAATTTAAGTACTGTGAATAGAAAGGTGTTAGAAGTAACATCAAGATACAAGTGCAATAAAACCACTAGAGGAAACGCAAGAAAGGTAACAAGATTACATAACCAAAGGCGAGAAGGCACTGAACGAAGTGTCAACCTACGAATACAACTTCAGTGCAACAATGTGCTCGTTCTGCTTACACAAAACAGGCTTATGAGTACGTATACAAACTGCCTCTAGGACTTTCAACTGTTGGACATAACGCGCACGACACAGAATATTGAGAGTCATCATACACACCAAGACAGTCAGGACGAGATAACAAGTGTAGATACACAGCTGACTTCTTACGATCAACACATTCATCCGCCTCATCTCGCTCCTTCCCACCCGACTCCTCCTCGTCCATCGCCTCGTCCTCTTCCTCGTTCCGCTCGTCATCCTCACGATCATCATCACCACCATCATCTGCCTCGTCCTCTGTCTCCTCACCAACCGTTTCGTCATCCACTTCCTCTTCCATCCTCTGATCATCCCTCCCATCCTCCGTTTCAGTACAGACCACTTGTCTCCCGTTTGCTAGCCGCTCGTCCCGTGAGCGGAGTTGTTCCTCCAGATCCGCTTCACTCACTGACTCATGATACTGCTCGACCCTCCTCCTGTTGGTACTGTCCACAACGCGCGGTCCCTGGCCGTTTCTGGCATAGATCTCTGTGCAGTAGTTTGCTGTTGCCCTCCGAGGTCTCTGGATTAATGTGGGCGGCGTGGCAATTCGTGTGAGAGTTGGTGATGCCAGCGCGAGTGTAGGTGGGTCCACCCCAGCCCCCGCCACAAGAAGAGCCGGTGGCGGTTCTGGTGGTGGCAAGGGCGACGGTGGTGCTGCTGGAGTTCAGAGGATGGAAGAGGAATTGGATGACGAAACGGTTGGTGAGGAGACAGAGGACGAGGCAGATGATGGTGGTGATGATGATCGTGAGGATGACGAGCGGAACGAGGAAGAGGACGAGGAGATGGACGAGGAGGAGTCGGGTGGGAAGGAGCGAGATGAGGCGGATGAATGTGTTGATCGTAAGAAGTCAGCTGTGTATCTACACTTGTTATCTCGTCCTGACTGTCTTGGTGTGTATGATGACTCTCATTTTTCTGTACTGTGTCGTGCGCGTTATGTCCAACAGTTGAAAGTCTTAGAGGCAGTTTGTATACGTATTCATAAGCCTGTTTTGTGTAAGCAGAAAGAGCACATTGTTGCACTGAAGTTGTATTCGTAGGTTGACACTTCGTTCAGTGCCTTCTCGCCTTTGGTTATGTAATCTTGTTACCTTTCTTGCGTTTCCTCTAGTGGTTTTATTGCACTTGTATCTTGATGTTATTTCTAACACCTTTCTATTTACAGTACTTAAATTCAGTTTCTTTGGTTGTATCCTTAGTTCCGTTTTTTCCCACTGATGATAGGAACGAGAAAATCGATTCTGGGTTTTCAATCATATTTTTGTTATAAAATACACAGTAATACATGTCAAACAAGTAACGTAGTTGCGTGATGTCTGCGGCCTTCATCCTATTCATAGCTATATTAAAAGTATTATAATGCATGCAATAATTAGGAGAGGTACTCGTGTTTTCAATAAGCAATAGTTAAGAACATGCTATTGGCGATTCATATCCATGTACATGTATTTATTAGAGTGGCGATGCCACTCTGCTCACGCCTGCCCGTCACCAAACGACTCCCTACTTGTAGTGATCTCACTGGGCCACTGCCCGCCACCCTCCTGGCACCCCCCACACATCTGCTGTACACTGCCTCCCCATCGCCTCTTTCCGCGCTTTCATGCTCACACCTGCCTGTTGCCCGCCACCCTCCTGGCACTTCCACGGTCGCGCCTTGGCCCGCGCCAGCTTTCTCCCCATACCTCACACCAGATTTAGCGCTAAATTTGTTTATGCTTGTGGCCCTATGTGTTTATAAGCATACTGTTGGGTAGACCAGAGTATCAGTTGTCTGATGATTGCCTAGCGGAATGAAACTCAGAGTTACAACCAACCTGAACGTCCTCCGCTGAGTCTGCTATGTATTTATATATATGTAATCTGTTTAGCGAATTATTTGTTCGTTTGCTGGTGACTGTCTATGTGCTGCATATCCATGTAGATGTTATTCTGTACTCCTCTGTATTGCCCTGTGTCCGTTGGGTGAGTGTGCAGTTGTTCATGGAAATCAGCAATTTTGTGGATCTTACATTGGCAATGGATGCCCATCAGAAGCCTGACGTTCCCGACGATAACGCAACCGAGGTAGCCAAGCCGCAACATGACATCACTACTGAGAATGTATATGCTATGCCAGAGCTAATGGCTGCTGCTAATCACTCTCTTACTGGTGATGATATACTCCAGCAAGAAGAATTGCATCTAGAATCCGCAAACAGTGATGCAACTAGCTCACTACATGTATCTGAAGATCTCCAGGTGACGGAGCAGGGCCCAATTCTGCATGAACTGGACAGTGTTTCTTTTGATGTGTGGCAAGATACATTATTGCCAATGTTGTCCATTCTGGACATCTTTCGGCTGTGTGGAGTTTCGAGGAATGTTAAGAAGCTGCTGCTCAATGAGCACACGTTTAAGCGTCTATGTCAGGTGAGAACCAATGTGCAATGTTGCCACAGCGCAACCTTCTATTCAGCTCGGCTTGTTGTGAAAGGTCGCTTTCCTTGAATCGTATCTCTCTCATGGCATGCCAGGCAAGGCCGAGAAAATAATCGCGACTTATTTCAAAACAATTTGTGCGCAAACCAGGCCCTCAAAAATCCATCACGAAGTTTTTTTGTTAACGGAGTAAGTAAGTTCAACAACAAGCCAAAACAGCACTGACATATTCAACGCGGACCTGGCACTACCTCCAAAGTCGGTTTTGTCCTTTGTTGTTGCACTTACTGACTGTATAAATTATGTAGTCACTTTGGTGAACAGTTACCTGGTCATAACTCACAACATTCAGTCCTTCCTTTATTTATCCATGATTACATTGGCTCAACATCCGAGTACAAACTTTAGGAATGAACAAGTGCAATGAATAAAACTATGTGTGCACTCATATCACAACCGGAGCGACGAATTAAGTATTCCAGAACGTGTTTCTTCTTACAAATATCAATGGATTTCGTGATTAAAGAGAATTATGAAATTACAAAAGGATTTATACACTTGGAGTGAACAAGTGGATTGTAAATTCGAAAATTTACATCTACTTCAAAGTACTAATATTATTCTCAAAGACAAGTAAAGAAGGGGGAAGAGTTTTCAAAACGAATTGCACAAGCCGAAAGCTAAACTCGTACGCATACTGTAGGAGTTTGGCTTTCGGTTTGTATAATTCGTTTTCGCAAAGCTCCCCCTACTATTATTATTAGTTATATTGAAATATTGCAATTTCAAGTTTGGACTTCACGGAGAGTTTCAAAGTTTTTAGGAAATTAGAGGCCTCATGCAGCTCTAGCTCAGTTTGTTAGAGCATTGCTCGCGAATAGCAAGGTCCCTGGTTCGAGTCCCGGTGGTGTGACTGATGATTTTTTCTTTCTTTCATATCTGGCTTGCAAGTGTTGAGTTTCGGAGAAAAAAGAGAAGTACGTGGCATTTGGCCTCTTGTTTCCTAAAAATATATTGAAATATTATTATAATAATATTCACGTGTCGGCATCGCTTGAATGTTCAGAAACATGTATGTACGTATATGTACATTTTACGTCCCTGGTTCAAGACCTGGTGGTGACAGCTTTTGATCTTCATATCTATTCTGTTTGCAACTACCTGAAACTAATGAAGTCATGCATATTTTCTGTATTTGTCATTGTCATGTGTTTCCATGCAATGCAGAGGCGGTATCATCTCAGTCCTAACTTGGAAATGTCGTATATTCGAGCTGCACGAATTCTCTACATAGCAGACAGTGTGGCTAGTATGCATCATAGCCCGTGGGAGTGGATAAATGATTTGCTTGTCGAAAGGGCTAATCGCCGGGTTTTCGACCAAAAGGATACATTGCTAAAGCAATTATCGACTCTGGCGTTGATGGCACCTCCAACTGCGGGTCAGATCACAAGCTGGACTTTCTCTTGTTTGCAGAGTGAACTGGTGAAAGTCGACTTCTTATCTGTAGATGAAGCGTGTGAAATTCTTCCAAACGTTTCGCGGAAGTTGTTTGGGCCAGATTCATTGGATTCAGACGAAGGCATGAACACGGATGCATATAGAATAGAAGATTTGGTTTCTTTGCTTCTAGAAAAGTGTGGCTCTATTGAAGAGAACCAAGAAGCCATGATCGAACATTTGCACGGCGATATCTCAACGCTAGAATCATACTTGCCCTATGTGTACCGATCGAGAAGGCTTGTTGACATTGCAAAATGTTTTTACAGCATTGCAAAGCACGACAAAAGTGTATTCACCTCCCTGGGCACAGCATGGTTATGGGCATACCTTTATGTGCAATGTCTGCAGATTCCAAACACGTATGTATGGACGTATAATCCTTTCGTTCATTGGGATTTCGTCGATGTGAGGAATTTTGATCAAGAAGATGATGTGATGATGACTAGAAATTGGATATACGCCATCGGCAAGCTCGCAACCAAACATTCCGTTCTCAAGCTCCTGATAATGGGAAGAATGCGGACGGTTCATGTCGAGGATTATTTCATGGCTGTCATGGAGTATGAAGAGTTCTTGAAGGGATTGCCAAAGTCCAGTATCCCTGATTGTGCAACTCTCTACCTACATTTGGGAAGTTACCTACAACCTGCCTCACAAGGATCACATTCCAGAACAGAATGGACAGCAGACGAATTGTTCAAAGCCATGGAGGGCTATGGCAAGTTGTTGGCTACGAAATGACTCGAAGCCGCGTCAGGAAGAAGAAGGGATGAGGAGAATATCGGAGCAGCTGAGTGCCAGTATCACAACAGCCAGTGCAGTTTTGTGCCCCCATTGTCAAGATTTCTGGACGGATGCATTGCTAAAATTTAATATGTGTGAATTTTTCATTTCGTCACCTTTTTTGTTAACCGCTGTCCTTTTTCAGGGTGACTCTGTATTATGGAACTAGCTGTAATATGAATGCTAGGTTTGAAAAACTGCTAGCATTGGTAACTGTACGAACAACACCAAATTCTGTAAACATTCCGACCGGTTCAGTAATGTCAATTTCGATTTTTCTCCGTTTAGGGTCCTTGTTACTGTTCACTTTCCTGTAATAAAACATTGTTTCAGGTATTCTGTATAGCTACACGCAAGCCATGGACCTTGTCTCTGGTAAACCAATCCATGTCTTTTCAAGTTTTCATAGCTTATTGCTGCTTTCTTTTTCATAATTCTGGAAATATTTTTTAATGAAAACTCTGACACTTTGCTACATTCTTTTTCTTCTTGCTGTTGCTGCTGTCCCCGCAGAGGCTGTTTGTTGTTGCTGTGTGCGTGTGTATGTGGGTGTGCATGTGACTGAGGTGTGTTAGGGGTGGGGGCACGTATGGTGTGGCTGCACACAAGATTGAGAAAGAGAGTAAAAAAGAATATTTTTTAATGAAAACTCTGACACTTTGCTGTAGTCTTCCAATGCACGTCATCCGGGTGTAGCATATGAAAGGGCTTCGGTCATTTTGCATTTCCCGGGTGAAAATTTATTTGTTTTCAATCGCAGTAAGGTCACGGGGCATAGGTACTGATCGAACACACCACATAGAAGCATAGCGTAATGCATGAAGTACACGTACCAGGACGTCATCCACAGGTGAAATGCAATTTCAACAACCGATCATCTAGGATCACCTTGCTTCCAGGATGCTCTCAAAGCAGCCGTCTAATACGAGTAATAGAAATTATGTGTGCACCTTCATTCACCGACAAGGACCGGGTGGTTATGAATTTTAGATTGGGACTTGAGCCGGGACGAGTGTGACCTACAGATGGGCTATAAGCAGCAACAATGGCAGTGACTAATTCGCAGTTTAATGTGCCTTTCAGAGTCACTAGAGTGCTTTGACTGGCTCCCGAAACCTCTGTAATTAAGGTTATGGTGAAATACTAGTGCTGAGGTCAATAGCCATGGTGAAAACACTATGAAGTAAGTTGAGACAGCTGTAAAAGTCGCTGGAGAACAGGGAAGAATTTTAAGTTGTGAATTTATTCGAGCAATTGTGTGAAACGTTCATTGGTAGTCAATATGGTGGGGCCAACACCTCGAATCTGTGACAATGCTTGATCTAGAGAGCGCCTGTGGGGAGGGGGCTCGACACCCTGAAGTTGGTATTGCTTGTTTGTGTAAATGTAGATACTAGATAGTATGGTTTTTTTCTTCTGACTTTTTGACTTCACGCACCATGCAGCCCGAGCTGAGTCTATCGGAAAAAACTCAGTCGACATCGCTGCCAGAGCAGTTGCCCTTAAACCCAGACAACATGGTGATGAGATAACGCCTTCGTCCATTAGCTCTTCTTCGATTCCACGTCAAACGGGGAGCAGAGAACGAATGACACGTTCGCTGCACCCGCAACGACTAGTTATGTGATTGTACTTTGCTCGAGTAGCGGTAGATGGCTGCGGCTGTGTTGAACAGTGATAGGCGGTGGAAAGAGAGAGTTTTAGCGCGGGTTAGCGATATAAGGGCGGCTGAGCAGCAGGGCCCGCCACCACCTTCCGCATTCTTTCGGGAGCATAGTGGACTAAGTAAAAAAATAAAATGACGAATAGAGTCAACATCCGACTCATCCGCGTGCTTCTATGCAACACTACCCTACGCATCCGCTTAAGCACCGATATGTCATCGCTCTTCAACACCAACGTGGGAACACCACAAGGTGATGCACTATCACCAGTCCTCTTTGTTGTATATCTAGATTCAGCTCTTCGTGATTTCAGAGCCGCAGCACCTCCCCGTCCACTACAGGACCAACACCTACCCCCAGAAGTGATCTACGCAGATGATACCGACTTCATAAGTAGTTCGAGGCAGTGGCTGACGGATATCGAACCCATTGCAGCGGAGGTACTGGGTGAATGGCATTTACGCGTCAACCATGACAAGACAGAGAGGACAACATTTCGCCGGGAGAAGGACCGTATAGCAGAAGATTGGCGCTCGACAAGAAAGCTGGGCTCTTTCATCGGCGACGAACAAGACGTGATCCGGAGAAAGCAGCTGGCATCAGCAGCATATCAGTCCATGTTCTCTCTCTGGCGTCGCAGCAAACAGATCAGCGAGCGGGTTCGGCTCCGTCTGTACAATACCCTGATCGTCCCAATTTTGCTGTACAACTGTGGCACTTGGGGCTTGACAGCAGCAACTGAGGAGGGGCTCGATTCCTTCCACAGAAGGCAGCTGAGGTCCCTGATTGGCGTCCGTTGGCCACAGCGCATCTCCAACATCAACGTTTACTCCCGCTGTGGTGCGGAACCAATCAGCGCAACGGTCAAGCGTGCCCGATGGAGACCGATGGGCCATGTCCTGCGGCTTCCTGGCGATACCCCGGCAGTGATAGCAATGAAGGCATACTTTGTATGTCGAGAAGGGTCGTTCCGAGGGCGACCAAGAACAACGTTGGTCACAACCCTGTCCAAGGACTTGGAGAAGAAGAACATGGCCAAATTAAAGACAGCAGCGGACCTAGACAGCCTTCGATCTACCGCAGCTAGTCGCGAGGAGTGGAGAGACTTTTGCCCTGCTCTATATTGAGGAAGGCCACAGTATGCTGGCATCTACCACTCCATCATGACTATTACTTCCCCGCATAGGTTTCGGTAGTCACCGACCATGCTGGCAATCACCATAGTGAAGTATATTGTCCGTTGTGTTGTACCGTTAAAATGCATTCTTGCTTCTACAGTATCATACAGCTGATCGTTTGGTTCTGGCATATGCGAAGATGTGAACATTGTTGACATCAACGCGAACATACATTATAATAATAATTATAATAATAGGGTCAGTGCATGCAACCAATGACATTCGCAAAAAAAACTTGTATTGGGGCATCAGTCTTTCGTTGATGCCGGGTCATTCGCGGAGTAGATCAAGATTGCTGCATGATGCGTGCGCCGCCCTGTGAAGTGATTTGACTACGTCAGTTCAGTATGTTCAAGTAGCAGGGCGTGACTGTAGTCCGTAGCTAGCTGTGTACTGTCCTCCAGTACCGTGCATGCAATGAAATCAAGTCGCGTCACTCAAGTACGCGCCGAACGTTGCGCAGCCCTAGTCCTGTGAACTACACTGAACAGTGGGCAGCGAAATGTACATGACTTAATCATGGTACAGTAGTCAGTACATTTGCGAAGAATAAAGTCAGTGCCTGCAATGCAGCCAATGACGAATCTTTAAATTCTTTGTTGGCATCTTCAATACCTACTACTACGAATATTTTGACGATCACGTAATACCAATAGGTACTAGCCTACTAGGTGTACGTAAGTGGGGAATGAGTTCGGCAAGTACTTGAACTTGAAGTACAGACAGTGCACACGTACGTGGCCATCTTGACATGGAGTGGCGGTTACCGGTTGTGCGTGTGATCAATACACAGTAATAATAATACTATTAGCCAGCTACATGTGCGTGTGTACATCATGAAGTTTGTAGCATGCAGCTAGCTCTGAACACTGCTAGCCGTGCAGAGATGATTGCGATAATTATTACCAATACAAGCTCACTGTCTGCTGCCCACGTCTAGCTGTGTCGAATACGTGGGTTTCTGCTGGAACACTAAGAGCTTAGTGGATCAATGAACAGTCAGCAATGGCAGTAATAAACGTTAATAACGATGCGTGGATGCATTGCGACCTTCTTCTGTAAGTTCTGAGAGACAACTCAACATTCGGCTACCGTAAAGATTAGAGCTGAGCTCTCACGTATCAGAGATGCCACGTCAGAGCACCGCTCCTTTCACTACACAGTACACTACTCAGTAGTAGTATTACCGTACTGGCAATATACATGGTCGCAGTGAGGCCATGAAGCGTTACATTGGCACATGTTTACCGCACGCAGGGCGTTACATGCAAAGTCGCACAGTAGCCGATGCGCAGGTTTCTATATTGCCGCAGTCCTTTTTTGCTATTGCAGGACTTCCTGCTGCGTCCAGTTTTGAACTTTTCACCACGCGGTACACGTGCTTTCACAGTTTTCAGCCTTTTTTGCAATGAAAAGATCGCCGCACCCCGCCGGACGCGCGTTACGAACGCAACGAAAATGTGTCGCACTAGCCTGGTCGCGCGTTACGACGCACCCCCCTGCGTTACGCGTTACGCGCAACATATTTTGCCAGTACGGTAGTAGTAGTATGAAGGTATAAATCAGTGTTCTCGATCTTGCTAACCATCAGTTCACTAGCAGTATCTTGAAAACGCCAGGCGAGCTCAGGTATCCCTTTCCCCTGCAAACTGTAGTTGCACCCCGACACCACCAGTTGCAAGTCTCTGCTCCTAGGTAAGTCTAAACTCTGGAAACACTTTCTTCAATTTTTGTAATGGTTATACATTAATTCTTTGGGACATCTGTTGGCTATTTGTATAAATAAAATATCTCTGGTTGATTATATTGAAAGAAGCAATTCTAATCTAGATTTCATTCTCAGCTTGAAGTGCTTTACTTCGATAAGAATGTGTGATGTCTTCCTAGTTATAGCACCTGTAAGCTGAGTGTAACAGCAAGAAACAAACTTTGTCCAGTGTTCTCAATTCGTCGATTTCGGGGTAATTTATGTCATCACTGTTTGGGCCTTATTCTTGTTCCCATATGAGAACAATGGGAAGATAAAAGTTAAATTTGGCTTTTAAAAATACATTTTAGAACTCTGTTCCGGCGTACTAAGATTAATTCCAATTTCCTGTTTTTCTGGTTCTGACGATGGGCCATGCCCGAAACTTTGGCCTAATGTAAATTTGAACTTGAATCGCAGTGAAGAGACCGTTTTTTGGAAGTTTAAGTTGAGAAGTAAGGTTTCCTCTGACCTAGGTAAGGCTAGTCTATGAAATACCCTCTGGGATCACTGTCCACAGTCTTCACTGACAGTTGTCGGTACTGGTGGTAGCAAAACAATACCTGAAACGAGGCGAAATCTTTGGCAAAGTATTTAGAGTTTCCCCTTCTTCCGTAGGTATGTGCAATGTGATAAAAAAATAAACTACTTGTTTTGAAAAGCTTACGTGGAGATAAAAATGTAATCAACGCAATAAATAGAGTAAGCTGCGCACTCAGTACAAACACCATTAGCAAAACTTGTTTTCATGTAAATAACTAAGCTTGTTCCTAAACGTTTTCGTCGCCATCTCATCAGAGGATTACTGGCAAATCAAAACTAGCTCTAAACTCAATATATATACGCACAATGCAAGTAATAATTTAGACCCTACCTAGCGCGAGAAGATGAGAGCTGAAAGAAACATAACATCAATCAACGATATCAGGTGACAACAGATGCGATAAATTCACCACTAGAAAGTAACCACAAACGAGAACTACTGATCTAAATTCACAAACAATTTCAACGTAAACAAATTCTTTTTCTGCCTACACAAAATCGGCTTGGTGGTAAAAATGTAGATAGACTCCAATACACGCAGATACCTTTGACTACGTGAACGAGACCAAACAGAAAAGCAATCATCAGTATAACTAGAACGACAATCACTATTCTGAACAAGATGGTTTGCAACAGAAGATTCATACACCCTTCCTTGCCGCTACTGCCAATCCAGACGAGGCCGATGTAGATGTCAGTACCAAAGACACGTCCGTTACTGGCACTGCCTGCTGCTCCTCCTCTTCATCAACACCAACGGCCATTGAAACGTCAAAGGGAGCATCATCGCAGCAGGCAGTGCCAGTAACGGACGTGTCTTTGGTACTGACATCTACATCGGCCTCGTCTGGATTGGCAGTAGCGGCAAGGAATGTCAGGTCGGTTTCATTGTCACGTAATTCCAAAGTATGTACTGGTTCTAGTAGTGGTGTTAGGGTGTATGAATCTTCTGTTGCAAACCATCTTGTTCAGAATAGTGATTGTCGTTCTAGTTATACTGATGATTGCTTTTCTGTTTGGTCTCGTTCACGTAGTCAAAGGTATCTGCGTGTATTGGAGTCTATCTACATTTTTACCACCAAGCCGATTTTGTGTAGGCAGAAAAAGAATTTGTTTACGTTGAAATTGTTTTTGAATTTAGATCAGTAGTTCTCGTTTGTGGTTACTTTCTAGTGGTGAATTTATCGCATCTGTTGTCACCTGATATCGTTGATTGATGTTTTGTTTCTTTCAGCTCTCATCTTCTCGCGCTAGGTAGGGTCTAAATTATTACTTGCATTGTGCGTATATATATTGAGTTTAGAGCTAGTTTCGATTTGCCAGTAATCCTCTGATGAGATGGCGACGAAAACGTTTAGGAACAAGCTTAGTTATTCACATGAAAACAAGTTTTGCTAATGGTGTTTGTACTGAGTGCGCAGCTTACTCTATTTATTGCGTTGATTACTTGTTTTGAAGTAAGAATAAATTAAAAAAGTAAAACCGAACCATCGACTTCACTGGCGTCCCGCCATGACTGAACAAAACACCGCTCACGATTTTGTGTATGTGTCTGTGTGTGTGTGTGTGTTCTTTGGTATGCCTGGCCTTGTGTGTTGATCCGTATTGAAAAGGTCTCCACTGCAAGAATCTTAACTACGAGGAGTGATCAACATACCCTAGCAATGGATTCATATTACCAAGCTGATCATTGTGATGATAATGCAACAGTGGAAGTTAGTACTGGAAAATTAATTTTTGCAGTACTAATCAGCTTTGTAATTGCGCTCCTGATTCATTTAGCATACCTCTTACAACATGCCAGCGCTAGTGACAATGGGCACATGTGCACAGATCCAGCAGCATCTGGTACCGCCAACTCTCGACATGAACCTGAAGATCATTGCCAGCTAGTGGACCCAGTATCAGTGGAGTATGGGCTGGATAGTGTCCTCTTTGACGTATGGCAAGCCAAATTACTACCTATGCTGTCAGTTGCGGACATCTTTCAGCTGTCGGGCACTAGCAGGCGACTCAGGGAGATGCTGCTAAATGAATACACGTTCAAACGGATATGTCAGGTAACTAGTCGCGTGCATTGTCTTTTTCATAACTCTTCCTTTCAAGTGTAGTGCTCCAAGTGATTTCGAATGAGTCGTTGAGTTGAAGCATACCTTTAAATTGTTCTAAACTATTATAATATTAAATATTCGGGGGATCCGTGTTGGCATCGTGCAACTCTCTACCTAGATTTGTAATAAAGGTCTTTTCAAATAATTATGAAGTTCATCACTATAGGCGATATACATGTACATGTATTACTATTGACGATTATCACTCTTCTATATCGACCTCCACAATTCTCGTGATCCTTGACTGGTCCTATAATACCCATATCGCCGTAATATCGACCGCTGGAGGGAGGGACTTAGAAAATTTCTCTTCACTTAAAAAAAAATTTGAAAGAAGACAAGGGAAGAGAACAAGCAGGATTTGAACCCACAACAGTATGAATCTCAAGCAACCCCTTATACCACCCAGCCACTGTGCTGCAGATGCTGAACCCTGTTGTTCTTACTGTATTGTGCCCAAAATAGGCACATCCTATGTACACTATAGTACAAATGCTATACTAAAAAGGTTAAAATAGCTCCTAAATGTTCAAATTCTGGGGTTATGGCAAAGGAATCGTGATAACTAGGATATTGACCTCGACTTCGGTCTATATGGGAAATATAGACCTCGTTTTGGTCAATATTCTATACTTATCACTATAGACGATTATTACTATACGCGATAACTGTGTATACTTAGTTATGGCAAATGAATATAATAAGAAAAATAATCTAGCAATGAAAAACCGTAAGTAAGGAACTGACAATCGGCCCAGCTCATTGTCGTGTCTTCCTGTGCCTGCCTTGGAAAGGCGCGGAGTCGACAAAGGTCAGTCGTATTGTCAAGTCTATTGTCCAGAAGACGTACTATGCAGTGAATGTAGTAACTGTCTTCACCACGATACGTTCGTTCACGGTGTTGAAGGACGTCCTGCCGACCCATCATTTGAGTCACCTCATTTAACATTTTGAATGCCGACAGTGCGGTAGTCGGTATGTTGGCAGGACGCTTCAACACTTGTCCGAACGTATCAAACAACACGTCCCATTGTCCTCGTTGTCAAAAGCGGCCAGGGCAGGCAGGCCAAAGCGTGGGAGGCCACGAAAACACCCGTTGCCTACTACTACGCCTGTCAGTATTACAACACAACCAGAAACGGATACAACACCGGACTGAACAGTAGCGCAACACATGAATCTGGTGTCACTCTTGACGACAACAACACGGCATGGGAGACCACCGGACGATCGTTCGTTAACAAACCCGACGGCGGTAACGGAAAGATCACCAGGAGAACGAAATGAAAATGGAGGAAAAACGAATCTGAGGAGAAGCCAGAGACTAGCGGAGACACGACTGAGAAAAATGGAGAAGGCGGAACCAGTAGTGGCAGGTGAAAGTACGGGCGCAGCAGTGAACACGTCAAGGAGAAAGAAGCGATGGCATGAGGAGATGGAAATGGAGGATGATGATGGGGATGAACAGGATGGTCAGGAGGAAAGCAAGGGTGAGCAGGAACAGGAAGTGGAGGATGAGAGTGATACGGACGAGAAGGAGTTCGACATCGACAAGAGCAAGTCTGCCATCTACAAGCATTTGGTGTCCAGTCCGGATTGTCGTAAGTTGTTTGACGATTCCTGGTTTAGTGTTATTTGTCACGCGCGTTTCTTTAAGCAGTTGCAGGTGTTGGAAGCTGTTTATATTCGCACACGTGACCCTGTTCTATGCAAGGAAAAGAAAATGTTGTAGCACTCACACTTTTTAAATAATACGCACTCACCAGTTTTTGTTCACACGCACTCACAGCTGCCACATTCATCTACTGCTACCATTCTCAGATACACTGCAAAGGTTCACACTACACGCGTTATGCATAACCGCTAGCTGTGCTGCATTCTCACGCTTCTTTTCATATTACTGTAGCTATATAACTGGTTGTTTTAGTGATTCTTACTATGTGACGATGTTCCACTGATGATGGTCACACGAAAACGTTCTGGAATTGTTTCATTTTAATTGTTTATACATGGTTATGAGTGCACAATTGATATTTTTCATTGCTATTTTACGACTGTCTCCTCGTCGGTTATCAAAATAATCTACGTGGAGATAATAATTTTAATAAAGCTATGAATAGGATGAAGGCCGCAGATATCACGCAACTACGTTACTTGTTTGACATGTATTTACTGTGTATTTTATAACAAAAATATTATTGAAAACCCATAATCGCTTTTCTTGTTCCTATCATCAGTGGGAAAAATACGGAACTAAGGATACAACCAAAGAAACTGAAGTTAAGAACTGTAAATAGAAAGGTGTTAGAAATAACAACAAGATACAAGTGCAATAAAACCACTAGAGGAAACGCAAAAAGGTAACAAGATTACGTAACCAAAGGCGAGAAGGCGCTAAACGAAGTGTCAATCTACGAATACAACTTCAGTGCAACAACGTGCTCCTTCTGTTTACACAAAACAGGCTTATGAATACGTATACAAACTGCCTCAAGGACTTTCAACTGTTGGACAGAACGCACACGACAAAGTACAGAAAAAAGAGAGTCATCATACACACTTAGACAGTCAGGACGAGATAACAAGTGTAGATACACAGCTGACTTCTTACGATCAACACATTCATCCGCCTCATCTCGCTCCTTCCCACCCGACTCCTCCTCGTCCATCTCATCATCCTCTTCCTCGTTCCGCTCGTCATCCTCACGATCATCACCAACCTTATAAGAGATACGGACTGTACATGCCTAACTGACTACATTTTTGCCCCTGGTTCAAGACCTGGTGGTGACAGCTTTTGTTCTTCATATTTGTCCTGTTTTAAATTCCCAGAAACAAATGAATACAGCCATATTTTCTGTATTTGTCATTCTGTATGTGTTTCCATCCCATGCAGAAGCGGTATCATCTCAGTCCTAACTTGGAAATGTCGTATATTCGAGCTGCACGAATTCTCTACATAGCAGACAGTGTGGCTAGTATGCATCTTAGCCCGTGGGAGAGCATAAATAATTTGCTTTTCGAAGGGGCTAATCGCCAGGTTTTCGACCGTATGGATACATTGTTTAAGCAATTATCGACTCTGGCGTTGATGGCACCTCCAACTGCGGGTCAGATCACAAGCTGTACCTTCTCTTGTTTGCAGGATGAACTGGTCTATGTCGAGTTCGTATCTGTAGATGAAGCGTGTGAAATTATTCCAAACGTTTCGCGGAAGTTGTTTGGGCCAGGTTCATCGGATTCAGACGAAGGCATGACCACGGATGCATGTAGTATAGAAGATTTGGTTTCTTTGCTTCTAGAAAAGTGTGGCTCTATTGAAGAGAACCAAGAAGCTATGATCGAACATTTGCAGAGAGATATCCCAACGCTAGAATCATACTTGCCCTATGTGTACCGATCGAGAAGGCTTGTTAATATTGCAATATGTCTTTACAGCATTGCAAAGCACGACAAAAGTGCATTAACCTCCCCGGTCACAGCATGGTTATGGACATACATTTATGAGCACTGTCTGCAGACTCCAATCATTTCTGCATGGACGGATAATGCTTTCGTTCATTGGAATTTCGTCGATGTGAGGAGTTATCTTGAAAAATATGATTTGATTGGGATTAGATATTGGACATACGCCATCGGACAGCTCGCAACCAAACATTCCGTTCTCAAGCTCCTGATAATGGGACGAATGCGGACGGTTCATGTCGAGGATTATTTCATGGCTGTCCTGGAGTATGAAGAGTTCTTGAAGGGATTGCCAAAGTCCAGTATCCCTGATCGTGCAACTCTCTACCTACAATTGGGAAGTTACCTACAACCTGCCTCACAAGGATCACATTCTAGAACAGAATGGACATCAGACGAATTGTTCAAAGCCATGGAGGGCTATGGAAAGTTGTTGGCTACGAAATGATTCGAAGCCGCGTCATGAAGAAGAAGGGATGAGGAGAATATCGGAGCAGCTGAGTGCCAGTATCACAACAGCCAGTGCAGTTTTGTGACCTCATTGTAATGATTTCTGGACGGGTGCATTGCTAAAGATGTGTGAAATTTTCATTTCGTCACCTTTTTTGTTAACCGCTGTTATTTTCAGGGTGTCTCTGTATTAATGGAACTAGATGTAATATGAATGCTAGGTTTGAAAAACTGTTAGCGTTGGTAAATGTACGAACAACACCAAATTCTGTAAACATTCAGACCGGTTCAGTAATGTCAATTTCGATCTTTCTCCGTTTAGGATCCTTGTTACTGTTCACTTTCCTGTAATAAAACATTGTTTCAGGTATTATGTATAGCTAGACGCAAGCCATGGACCTTGTCTCTGGTAAACCAACCCGTGTCTTTTCAAGTTTTCATTGCTTAAAGCTGCTTTCTTTTTCATAATTCCGGAAATCTGTTTTAATGAAAACTCTGACACTTTGCTGTAGTCTTCCAATGCACGTCATCCGGGTGTAGCATATGAAAGGGCTTCGGTCATTTTGCATTTCCCGGGTGAAAATTTATTTGTTTTCAATCGCAGTAAGGTCACAGGGCACGGGTACTGTTCAAACACACCACATAGAAGCATAGCGTAATGCATGAAGTACACGTACCAGTACGTCACCCACAGTTGAAATGTACTTTCAACAACCGATCGTCTAGGATCACCTTGCTTCCAGGATGCTCTCAAAGCAGCCGTCTAATACCAGTAATAGAAATTATGTGTGCACCTTCATTCACCGACAAGGACAGGGTGGTTGTGAATTTTAGATTGGGACTTGTCCCGGGACGAGTATGACCCACAGATGAGCTATAAGCAGCAACAATGGCAGTGACTAATTCGCAGTATAATGTGCCTTTTAGAGTCACTAGAGTGCTTTGGCTGGCCTCCGAAACCTCTGTAATTAAGGTTATGGTGAAATACTAGCGCCGAGGTCAATAGCCATGGTGAAAAATACTATGAAGTAAGTTGAGACAGCTGTAAAAGTCGCTGGAGAACAGGGAAGAATTTTTAAGTTGTGAATTTATTCGAGCAATTGTGTGAAACATTCATTGGTAGTCAATATGGTGGGGCCAACACCTCGACTCTGTGACAATGCTTGATCTAGAGGGCGACTGTGGGGAGGGGGCTCGACACCCTGAAGTTGGTTTTGCTTGTTTGTGTACATGTCGATACTGGATAGTATGGTTTTCTTTCTTCTGACTTCTTCGACTTCACGTACCATGCAGCCCGAGCTGAATCTATCGGAAAATACTCAGTCGACACCGCTCATAAAATCTGCCAAAGCAGTTGCCCTTAAACCCAGACAACATGGTGATGAGATAATGCCTTCATCCATTACGCATTAGCTCTTCTTCGAATCCACGTCAAACGCGGAGCAGAGCACGAATGACACGTAGTCGTTCGCTGCACCCGCAACGACTAGTTACGTGATTATTTTGCTCGAGTAGCAGTAGATGGCTGCAGCTGTGTTGAACAGTGATAGGCGGTGGAAAGAGAGAGTTTTAGCGCGGGTTAGCGATATAAGGGCGGCTGAGCAGCAAAGCCCGCCACCACCTTCCGCATTTTTTCGGGAGCATAGTTGACTTAGTAAAAAATAAAATGACGAATAGGGTCAGTGCATGCAACCAATGACATTCGCAAAAAAAATGTATTGGCGCATCAGTCCTTCGTCGATGCCGGGTCAATCGCGGAGCAGATCAAGATTGCTGCATGACGCGTGCGCCGCCCTGTGTCTGTGAAGTGATTTGACTACTTGAGTTCAGTGTATTGTGCAAGTAGCAGTGCGTGACTGTAGTCCGTAGCTAGTTGTACTGTAATCCAGTACTGTGCATGAAATGAAATCAAGTCACGTCACTCAAGTACCCGCCGAGCGCTGCGCAGCCCTAGTCCTGTGAACTACACTGAACAGTGGGCAGCGAAAAGTACATGACTTAATCATAGTACAGTAGTCAGTAAGTACATTTGCGAAGAATAAAGTCAGTGCCTGCGATGCAGCCAATGACGAATCTTTAAATTTTTTTGCCATCTTCAATACCTACTACTACTACTACTACGAATCTTTTGACGATCACGTAATACTAAAAGGTGTGCGTACGTGGGGAATGAGTTGGGCAAGTACTTGAACTTAAAGTACAGACAGCGCACACGTGGCCATCTTGACATGGAGTGGCGGTTGTGCCTGTGACCAATGCACAGTAATAATAATAGCCAGCTACATGTGCGTGTGTACATCATGGAGTCTGTAGCATGCAGCTCTGCACACTGCGAGCCGTGCTGAGAGTATTGCGATATTTATTACCAATACAAGCTCACTGTCTGCTGCCCACGTCTATGGGTGTCGCACCTAGGTTTCCCGCTGGATCACTAAGAGCTTAGTGGATCAATGAACAGTCAGCCATGGTAGTAATAAACGTTAATAACGATGCGTGGATGCATTGCGACCTTCTTCTGTTACTAGTGTTAGTTCTGAGAGACAACTCATCATTCGGCTACGCTATAGTATAGGTTAGAGCTGAGCTGTCACGTCTCAGGTCTGCCACGTCAGAGCACCGCTCCTTTCACTACACAGTATAGTACACTGCTCAATAGCAGTATTACTATTAGTAGTAGTATCTTTACTTATAAAGAAGAGGCACCTGTGACGAGTGTCTGTGTGTGTGTGTGTCACGCTCCTTATAAAGAAGAGGCACCTGTGACGTGTGTTTTTGTGTCACGCTGAAGCGCTGCGTAGAAGCGCTGCCCTGAGCATGCGAAGCGCCACTGCCAAAGCAGCGTGGGATCCGCAGGAGAGTGCAAATTTCATGATCTCCGACGGTTACGTCGGCAAGCGAGCCTCCGCCACTGCCAAAGCAGCGTGGGCTCCGCAGGAGGGTGCAAATTTCAAACCAAAATTTAAAGGCCTACTGCGCTGCCCTGAGCACGCGAAGCGTGCGAATCGTGTAGCTAGCGGAAGCAGCCACAGAATCGTGTAGCAGGACAAGTGAATAATTAGTCAGTCCATTGTTCATGATGATCTCCGACGGTTACGGTTACGTCGGCAAGCGAGCCTCCGCCACTGCCAAAGCAGCGTGGGCTCCGCAGGAGGGTGCAAACTTCATGATCTCCGACGGTTACGTCGGCAAGCGACCCTCCGCCACTGCCAAAGCAGCGTGGGCTCCGCAGGAGGGTGCAAATCTATGAGGGAGGTTCTTCATCGTTGGAAGGAGAAGGAGGGACGTCTGTTACGCCTTCGGGAGGCTGGTCAGGGTTGTCCATCACCTGGTGGCGGATGAAGCGGCTCAAAAAATTCATAAACTTACGAACAAAAGTGCGATGCGCTCTTCACTGCAGATCAGATGCAGAGTGCAGTCAGTGCAGATCTGGTGAGCTCACCAGTACTTCAGCGGTCTAGCCACCACGTGCTGAGCACGTGTGCTGTTCACGTACTTGCTTCACCCGCATGCCACATTCGGCCAGGCAACGCTGGCCGGTGGTGCTGCTAGTGAAGGTATAAATCAGTGTTCTCGATCTTGCTAACCATCAGTTCACTAGCAGTATCTTCAAATCGCCTGGCGAGCTCAGGTATCCCTTTCCCCTGGAAACTGTAGTTGCACCCCGACATCACCAGTTGCAAGTCTCTGCTTCTAGGTAAGTCTAAACTCTGTCAACACTGTCTTCAATTTGTAATGGTTATAAATTAATTCTTTGGGACATCTGTTGGTCTCAAATATCTCTGGACTCGGATGGAGTGCCAAGGTTTAATTTATACAAAAGAGAAAGGACCAAGGAACTGCAAGTAGTTACGCTATACTGTCCACTAACACCACCAGTTAAGAAACACAATTGTAGAACGTCAATGCCGGTCACAGTTGTAGAACGTCAATAGATATCCTTAGCTAAAAAAACGCTAACGTAAACGCAAACCTTTCCGTACCTCGGATCGTTCAAGCTGACTTTTCCCTTAGCACAAAGTACGTTATAGTTGAGACGAAGTAGTCGTGACAACCATGGCGATATGAATTTTCGTGGAAACAGATGCGGGAAATTCAAAATTTTGAACCAGGGATTAGTTTGCTGTCGTTCCGAAAGAATACCTTGGCGAGGTCTTTTACTCTGGAATAGCAAAAGCACGGCGAACATGAGTTTTCGCTGTTCCCAGGTCCTTGGAAACCCTTTCCTAAACGCAGCACCGAAGACTGTAAGGGTTCTCCAGCTCCAGCACGTCTGGGAGAGGCCGATGAATTTCTTCCTCAGGAGTGCCGCGGAACTGGTCCTTTGTTTCCCAGATGGGATAGAGGGAGAACGACACGAAGCAGAGGACGCAGAAATTGTCAACTGAAAGGCAAAACTCGCCAAAAAGCTAAATGTCACAAGAGGAAGCAATCTCGACTCTCGATCTCATCTCGATCTGCACGTCGACCTGCTTTTTATCTCCCGCCAGTTACAAAACAATGCGAGTTTTTGCATTTTTTGCAGAATTTCCATAACGAACGTCGGCCCGTTATTTTGAGCTCTGTAACGTTTTTCCGTTATCCGATAACGTCTTTTGTCACGGCTGGGAGTGAGTACCGTAAAAGTTAGCGTTATCGTACTTTTGCTAAGGATGTCTAATGCCGTCGGTCAGTGTCGTGCAATGTTTATCGCATGAGCTGATTGTTTACTAACTGGTTGTGTTAGTGGGAGGATAAAACCAGTCTGCCCCCTTAAAGTAGCAGCCTACCCAAACATTTGCTGAAAAATCGAATTTGTAAATTCATATCGAGTGCTACATCAGTTGAAAGAGCATGAATAGCTGCAAAATCTCTGAACATTTTGTCTCGATCTGAGCATCCGTTCAAGAGTTATGGTAGAAAATGTGCCCTTGCAAGGAAAGATTTTTTGTTGCACGCTGTCATTTTTTGGAAGGACTGTATTTTAATCTGAGCAGACCGTGCGCAACTTGTAGTATCATGGAAACACGCGAAAATGTGCAGAATTTTGTTCCAAGTCCAAAAAAGTCGAAAAATCGTGTTTTTAGCCACGTATGGGGCTGCACGCTGGAAGCCCGCCACCGTGCAGCAGGACTTTTGCCAGCACCACCGTGACGTTGCAGATGTGTGGCTTGATTATTGTAGTTGATTGTGATTTAGTGACCTTGGCAAGTTGGAGTCGTGTCGAGAAGTCAGGTAGGAGTCAGTACTAGGCAGTTGTGGAACATGATGGTTGTCTTTGCCGATTTTTGAGGGTATACTGGTTTTGGTGTGGAGCGCTGTAGAAAGGTCTTGCTGTGCAGGTCCCAGCACTGGATGTTGTATCAAAGGTACCACCTTGTAGCACATGCTAAACCTAAAAAAATCAAGAATTGACTTGCGTCTGTGG